AGGGGAAGGATGAACCCCCCCCCCCCCCCCCCCCTTTGGGTTCAAAAGGTAAGGGCCCAAAAAACTTGGGAGACCCCCCCCCCCCCCCCGCCTGTAATGCCTCTTCTTGGTGCCGTGGGGGTTTCGTCACGTGGGAAAAACACACGCACGCAGGTCGAGAAACCCCCGAACTTGTTCGAGGCCACTCCCGGCGCTACACCTGGCAAGGGCAAGAAGCGCAGGCGGAGCAACGGCAACGAGCGGCACCACCGAAAGTCGCAACCACCGCCGCCGCCGCCGCCGCCGCCGCCATCGCCACCTCGGCAGTTTGTCGCCTGCGGCGGCGGCGGCGGCAGCGGTGGGGGGGGACTGCTGGAGCAGCTTCGCAGAGAGAGGTTCGCTGTGGCGGTGTGCTGGTCGGAGGAGGTCGCCCCTTGGGCGGAACTCCTTGGTCCCACCGCGGCAGAGGGAGGGGCGGAAGTGCCGCCGCCGGTAGGAGCGGGGATGGGGCTAGGCGGCGGTGGTGGTGGTGGTGGTGGAGTTGGCGGGGAGGACGTCGAGGTCGTGGGACACCAGTGGCTGGTCAGCTGTCTTCAGCAAAATGTGCGGTGGGCGGCACCAATGCAGTAGAGGCTACGGTCATAAGAGAGATTTGTCAAGGGGAGAGTACGGACTTTGTTGTGAGAGGTTAGACGTGACTCGCACCTGCGTGAGAAATGCATATTTTTTGTTCTACGGTTTGAGAGAAGAGTGATTTTGGAGAACGTTTTCGGCTTGCCGCGACCTTCTCCTAAACCGTAGTCGCTACCGTAGTGAGTTCTTTGTGTGGATATGCACGTGTCCAGGCAGAAGCACCAAAGTTATGTGTGGGTGTCAGAAGAGATTCCCACCGGCGGGTACTCCTGCTTGGTTGGCCTTGCTGCTCGTTGCGACCCATTTATTCACAACACACGGGGCGCATTGCTTCGGTGCGTTCCGTGTCTCGCGAAGAGACACTCTCCCCGACCTCGCCGATCCCACGCGTTTGGGTGGATGCCGCTGTTGCGACGACTGCAGGCGGAGCCCGAACGTCGCACACACCCTCACCCCTCTGAATTTGGACCCCCCCATATATGTATTTTTTTTTTGTTGGCATCGACGAGAAGCCGAGCGTCCCACGCACGCATACAACATGGGTCTCCCTCTCACCCCTCTGAATTGGACCGCCTTCGCGAGAAGTGAGGAGGTAGAACAGGGAGGGGGTACGCAGACCGTATCCCTAACCCTATCCCAACTTCCCCGAATGCATTCTTAAACATGTTTATACAATTTAATGGAAAAACCCTTCGAAGGCTACTGTCTGAATTTGAACCCCAGCGGATCCCCCCGGGGCAACATTTTTTTTTCTTCTTTTCTTTTTTTTTTTTTGTGTTTGCAGCGACGGGTGGACACAAGGCCCTACCTGCTGTCGCCCCTAAAAAAAAACGACGTGGTTGGAGCGGAGGAGGAAGGGGAAGAGGAAGGGGGCGGGGCGCCGGCGTTCGTGGTACCCATGTACGCTTGCCAGAGGCCTACGCCAATGAAGCACCACAACCACGAGGTGTGTGAGGGGGTGGGTACTCACGTACGCGCATGGCGTAGTCGTTAGACCATACACGTCGACGTCGCATCCCTGCAATGCTACCGGGACGTGGCGATATGCCGGGTTGTCGCCGGCCCAGGCTAAATTTCACAAGGATGAAAACCTGAAGCTGCTCGACATCCCTTGCGTTTGCTGTGTCACACCAGACATGCCATGGGCGGGCGTACTCATGTTGTGCATGCCTTTAGCGGTTGCACCATTGACCACGCGTCCTGGGACGGAGCGTTGGTTTTCCCACTGCACCGATCACCGATGGCCGGTTGTCCCTTCCTACGTTGCCGTTGGTGGTCCGTCTCTCGGGGCACACCGGCTGAGCGGCACCCGACGCCCTCCAAGATGATTTTAATTGTTGTTGTTGTTGTTGTTGTTGTTGTCGTTGTTATGGTTGCTGTTGTTGTTGTTATGGTTGTTGTTGTTGTTGTTGTTGTTGTTGTTGTTGTTGTTGTTGTTGTTGCTGTTGTTGTTGTTGTTGTCGTTGTTGTTGTTTCCTGTTCTGGGTCTCTGCTCAGTACCTTCTAGCGTCCGTACCGGTCCAGCTGACGCGCGGACGCCTTCCACGGCCATAGGCTAACCTACCCCAAAGAAGGGTAACTGTACCACCTTCGAAAAGAAAAAAAAGAGAACACAAACAGGGTACACAAAAATCACCACAAGCGCGACAATAGCAACAAGAACCAGAAACTGAAGGCATTGGAATTAAATGGGATGGCGCGAGTCGTGATGCGATGTGTGGCACATGTAAGCGACGACCACAACGCGCGACCTTGACGTGCAGATCACCGACGTCCTGGATGCGATGACCAAGATGTACAAGGTCGTCGGGGATGGACAGAGGGCAGACTCCTTCATGAGGCTCTCCTCCGTCTTGCGATTTCTCGACAGAACGTAAGACCTTGAGGCCGTCGATGATCGTACACGTGTTTGTGCGTTCGGCGTGGCTTGTGTAACGTCAGCGTTTTTGCCGCATGAAAATGCAATGCTTGCAAGGGCACCGCATTTGTGGAGGGAGCCTATCGTCTGGCTGTCTTTCTAGGGCATGCGCTACGTGCCGCTCGGCAGCGATGTTTGGAAGGAAAATTTTTTGAGCTACTGATCTTATTGTTGACTCGCGTCGAGCGCTAGTTTCGTCTCGTTTTGGAGGTACCGCACAGCCGAAAGATTGAAGTATGGTTGTTGGTTGTGATTCCGACGGATGACGTGAGTAAGAGCTTTTTTTTTGCGGGTGGTTGTTGCCGTTGTTGTCTTCACATTTAATAACCGTTCCGTTCTCTCTACCCAGTACCTTCTTCTGTCCGTACTATAATAGTCCAACACTAGACGCGGTCGATTCCCGTGGTCACAGGCAAACTTACCCAATAGAGGTATACGAAAATACAAATAGACCCGAAGGGTCCACAAGCCAATAGAAATCAACGGCAGATAGTCTAGGTTACTCCGCTCGCTCTACACGCCATGTGAGGTGACCGTAGACTGGAAAGAAGAAAGAATAAGAAAATGAAAAAGAAGAGAACAGGTGGAGAGAAGGGAAAGAGAAAGAAAGAGAAAGACACAGAGAAAGACACACGCCAGAGTCACACCATAAAACAAAAAAACAGAGCAACACAATGCAGGTACAAATGTTTTTTCCTGAGAACCTGCGCGCAGAGCCTTGGCTGCTATTGAGGCCCTGTTCTTGATGTTGTACAACCACTACCTGCAGCATTCCTTACCTGCCTTGTTGCAAAGGAAGTCCATGCGCACGGAAACATGCACACGAATCTTTCACGAAAACAGACATTGTGCGGAAGGGAAATAGTATGAATTGCAAGATATTTGTTGTTCTTGGCGGCGTTGCAGGATACGGTCCGGGAGCGAGATCCGCCACGTGCACCACGTCGGAGAGCGGATGGTCGAGGCCGTCGACGAGATACTAGCGACCGGTACCCTCGGCCGATTAGAAGAGCTCAAGGTAAGCCTTGTATGTAAGCATGACGGTTTCGTTTATGCTGGATAATAATGTGATACTAGAAACCGCCCCCCTCTACCCTCGGCCGATTAGAAGAGCTCAAGGTACGCCTTGTATGTAGGCATGACGGTTTTCGTTTTAGGTTGAATTTTATGCAAGAAACCGCCCCCCTCAGCCGATTAGAACAGCTCAAGGTACGCCTTATATATAGGCATGACGGTTTCGTTTTAGGTTGGATTTTATGCAAGAAGCCGCCCCCCTCAGCCGATTAGAACAGCTCAAGGTACGCCTTATATGTAGGCATGGCGGTTTTCGTTTTGTGTTGGATTCGAACTAGAAACCGGCCCCCTCAGCCGATTGAAAGAGCTCAAGGTACGCCTTATGTGTAGGCGTGACGGTTTTCGTTTTAGGTTGGATTTTATGCAAGAAGCCGCCCCCCTCTACCCTCAGCCGATTGAAAGAGCTCAAGGTACGCCTTATGTGTAGGCATGGCGGTTTTCGTTTTAGGTTGGATTTTATGCAAGAAACCGGCCCCCTCAGCCGATTGGAAGAGCTCACGGTACGCCTTACACTTGTACGAATGACCGTTTTCATAACCTCTGGGTGTGATTTTGAGGTATGCAGGTATTAAGGTATTGCCAAAGCGATCGCGTGGTACCCTCACTTCCCTCTGCCGTGCCCCTCGCTCTATGGATGCATGTGTTGTGTGTTGTTGTGTACTTCACAGAGGGGGTCCCTGTTTAGTGCCTGTTGAATAGTGCCGGTGCCCGGTATACTGCCGGAGTTTTCGGCGTACACGCTCTGAATTTCCAAGTAATTGTCAGTACTTTTGATTGGTTCCGGTCCAGTGTGGTGCCGGTGAATTTTCTTGGCACATGCCGGCACTAAACTGGGACCCCCTCTGTATGTGTGTTGTTGTGGTTGCTTGTTCCCGGCTGGCGCACGCACGCTGTTGCACCTGCATGCCTAGACGATGGCGGGCTGCAGTCGACAATGATCAATCGATCCTCTCTGCAGTGAGAAACGACTAGCAGGACCAAGACATTGAAGAAATATATATACATATATATATCTGTTCTGAGACGGAGAGTGCCATCCCTACGCCCAATAGAAACGCCTCCTAAGACATAACACATATTCAGCGGGAATCCAGGCGAAGGCGAATGAGGGAGGGAGGGTCCTCGCAGCCAATAAATTACGCATGCACAAACAGACTTTATCCAGAGACAAGTATAGACTCCCCCGTGGCGCTCGGTCCCAGGGTCCCAGATCGTGGCCTTTTGAAGCATTTTGTGTTTTGAACCGCACTGAGACTGACGTCTTTTCATTGGTCAGCCGGTTAGCGCGGTCTCACCTCCTGCGCCCCCCTCGCGTTGGTAGGACCCTTTCATTATGTAGCGCGTTCTTTCGTGTTTTTTGTTGCGCTACAAGACTGATGACGTATTCTCATTGGTTAGCGCGGTCGATGCAAATATAGCGTTAAAAAAATGCACACAAACACAAACGCCCTGGCCCCTTCTTTTTTTTTTTTTATTAGAGCCACCCCCGGAACCAGGTGTGCCAGCAGCTCATGAAGGTGCACGGCGTGGGTTCGAGGACGGCCAAGGATTGGTACAACAGGGGCATCCGCAGCGTGGAAGATGCGCGGAGGACCCTCCTCCCCAACGACGACGACACCGAGGGTGCGTCAGGCCGGTGCGCCGGATGAGGGGCGTTGTTGTGGTAAATACCTTGCATTCACCATACCGCCTGTTCTGTTTTCATTTATTATTTACTTACTGTTTCATCCACGTGTGCATACCTTGCATACATATTCTGCCTTTTTTTTTTTTTCCTCTTCGTTTTTTTTCCCACGCGTCCGCCTTCTTTTTGCTGCTCTCTGGTTTGTGTTTTCGTTCCTCAACGTATGTGTGTCCGCCGGCAAGTAGGCACATCAGTCTAGCCAATCATTTCGAACGTGCACCTCCTCTTTCTGCATTGTTTTTTTGGCGCTGCTTTGGGGCGACAGCAGTCTATAGCCACTCTCATTTGTATCAAGGGATTTTCCGGTGGTGGGTGAGAAAGCTGCTTGCGTTGAACAACTCGAAAGTCTCTCTACTGCCATCGATCTGAAAACTCAAACATGTTTGCTGTTTTTTTTTTATCGTACCGGTGTTGTTGGGAAACTTAGGTGACGAAAAGCGGCCCAATCTCAAGCCCGAGGTCGTGATGGGACTGAAGCACTTCCACGACATGCAGGCAAGCGTTTAGCAAGAATTTATTTCGATGTACAGGCAAGCGTCTATTTTGCCAGATATTCTTTCGTGAGGCGGAATCAGGTAGTACAGAAGCGAATACAAGGTGCCATAAATGGTGAGTATCCCTCTGGCAACACCACTAGTCAGCTCTAACGCTGCCTTCGCGTAAGGTTGAGACGCGAACATAAAATGCGCTCAGTTCATGTTTTTGTTTTGTTTCGTCGGCCCCTTGGCTAGGAGAGACATTTTCTCTCGTCGAACTCCCTCGAGGATGTTTTGTGCAAACGCATCACGCATACCCTGTTTGGTGATGTAAACGAAAAGAAAACATGAGCGTTGTAAGGTCTTGCCGCCCCAGAACAATACGTAGGTGCTCGTGTATCAGGTACACACGGCAAGCAAATGTTCCCGCAGGTACTAGGGTAACAGAACATGAACACAAGTTTGTGTTTGCGTGACAATCAATCCGGGCGTCCCGATCAACAACAACCCAATCAATCCGGGCGTCCCACTCAACACCTACACCATCACCAACAACAATATGACAACAACAACAACAACAACAACAGGTGCCGATTGGGAGGGACGAGGTCGTCGGCATCGCCGATGAGGTCCGGGAGGAAGCCGAACGGTTCGGCCGAGAGAGGGATCCGGAAGGGACCTTACTCTTTGAGGTCAGAGAGAGAGAGAGAGAGCTTCGTGTTGTTGTCTTTGGCTGCAAGGGTGGGCTTTCAGGCGGGACGCTCGTCTTTTGGACGCTTGATACCAGAGATGCCCTTGAGGTCAGAGAGAGCTCCGTGTTGTTGCCTTTGGTTGCAAGTGAACTTCCAGGCGGGACGCCCGTCGGTTGGACGCTTGAAGTCGGAGAGTTCCTTGAGGTTGAAGAGTCTCGAGTTTTGCGTTTCCTCGGTTGCATGCACGAGGGGAATTCCAGGCGGGCGTGCCTTGAGCGCTCTCTTGTGCTGGACGCTTGCTATCAGAGAGTTTCTTGCTGCCTTGGTTGCACGAGTGGAACACCAGGGGGAAGAGACGCCCCCCCGGAGAAAGCGCTACAGTATGAGTAGAGATCTAATGAAGGGAAAAAATGGTACGGAAAGTGGAGGAAAAAAACACACGAGGTCCGGTTTGGTGCAATGAGAAAGGTAGAACGAGATATACATATACGACGCAGATCTCATTTTTGAATTGCAGCATTGCTGTTGTTGTGTTATTTTTATTGTGTTACGTGTTTTTTCCTCCCATCAACGTGTACGCAAAGAAGGGACACCCATCTCATTTTTTTTGTGTCTTTTTTTGTGTTTTTTTCTCGCATCAAACCAAGCAGGTGTGCGGGGGGTTCCGCAGGGGGAAGGAGACCCTCCACGACGTGGACGTGCTAGTGTCCTTCCGGAGGGGCAACGGAGAACCGGGGCACCAAGGCTTTGTGGAGGTGAGACCTTCCAACAATTGGACTTCTTGTATGTGGAGATAGGACCTTCAATACTAGACTACTTTTTTTGTGTAGGTGAGGCCTTACGAGCACTTGATGGATATTTGGTCGAGGGGGAACAAATCGTAGGTGCGGAAGTGAAGGCCTTCGAAGACTTGGAGTACTTCTTCGTGGAGGTGAGGCCTTCGAATACTTGATGGGTATTTGATCGAGGGGAAACAAGCTATATGTGTGAAATAGTGTGGTTGTTTGTGCTTGTTGTTGCCATCGACCACGATAGCCGGCTGACCAATGAAAGCAAATCGGTCTTGAGTATGGCTAGAAAACGGGAAGTGCTTCTCAAGGCCACGGTCTAGGACCCCGGGAGAGGGAGAGAGGGGGAGGGGGAGAGATATAGCGTGTTTTGTTTTTCCGGGCACAAACGTGAATAGAGCTGATGCGCCGTGCACAAGGCCGAGACATTCGTTCTCACAAACTCAGAAACCCTAAGCTATCCACGCCTATTTAATTATATACCAGAGAATGACAAACGTCCATGCCAGGGGTTGAAGGAAAGGCTCATGGAAAGAGGAAAGCTGTGCGCCACGCTGTATCAGGGTCAGATGGGAGGCTTCACCAAGGCGAAAGGGGGCCAGGCCCCACAGCCCAAGCTCGAGCGCGAAGAGGTGACAAGAGCGATTCGATGCTCGTGTCCGTGTCCGTGTCCGAGTTTTTTTTCCCGTGCGCTGCCATGGGCTGCTCCGTGTTTGTGCTGCTTGCGTCGCAGACGCTGTTGGATGTTGGTTGGTCGTGCTTGCGGCTGCTTTTGTTGCTGTTACCGGCGCTGTTGGTGGTACAGGTGCTGCAGCTGCTGCTGCTGATGTTGTTGTCGTTACTCGCGCGTGTGGATATTGTTGCTGCTGTTGCTGTTGCTCTTTGCTGTTGCTGTTGCTGTTGCTGATGCTGTTGCTTTTGTGGCTGACAATCTTGTCGTGTTTGCCGTTATGCGTGGTTGTAGTTGCTGCCGCTATCTTGACAGCGGAATGCTGCTCCCGCTGAACCCACACACAGAAAACAGAGAGCAGCTATATTCTCTTTTTTCTCGAGTGTAATTGTTTGTGCTGCCAAGCAGCAAGAAGGGGCTGATACTCCAACAGCAACGAAAGACGGGAACATCAAGTCGGCTGCCGCTATTGGTTGTTTGTTGGAGGAGGAGGAGACAGTCGTGACTCACCGCTATTAAATAGCTGCTCGAAATCAAGGAGCACAGCGAATCACGCTCTCGCGTGCACCACTCACTCACTCTGTTCGAGGACCATCGGGCTACAAATGTGAAAATACCAACCGTCCCTGTTGAATCCACGCTCCAGGTATTGATGGCTCTCTGGCAGCTGCCGGGACGCAAGTGCCGAATCGACATCGTGCAGGTACGATAGCAGCACCAAGCAGGTTCGGTACAGTACTCGAGAAAAGAGAGCTGTTCCTCTCTTGTCTTGTGTCAAGACGGCGGCAGCCCGTTACAAGGACGCGTTTTTGTTTTTTTCGTTGGACGGGGCGGGGGGTGGACAATGCCCTCGGAGTATCTCGGAGAGAACTGCGCCGAGCTGTAGTTGCCGACCGCGTTTTGGCGCAAACACCGAAGCGGAAGTCGGGTGGTGCAGGGAGCAATAAAGGTAAAGTTGACAATGAGGGCGGGAGAACAAGCGCACGAGCACCGGTGATTTGCCATGTGTTTTGAAATCAAACGCCTTGCTTGCTTGTTATTTTGGTGGGTTTCCTGCTGGTTGGGTTCCAGGTGGCGTCATCGCAGTGGCCCTTCGCGCTGCTCGGGTGGTCCGGGACCGTCATGTTCGAGAAGGACGGTGAGCGCGAAAAATGAAAACGCTTCCAAGTGCTGCGTCGTGCAGCAGCTCATGTGGACGAGTAGATTCAGAAACAACGTCACATACCTTGATAGAAACAAACAGTTTCTTTGCTCGTTTTCACAAGAGAGCAGCCCCAAAGTCTAAGCTCGGCCAGAAGTGGTATGAAACCATTGGCTGCTTTTGAGCGATGTCATCCCCCAATTGATAGTTCGGCAATCGTCGCTTGTGTATCGCTGACGCCGTACTTTGTTCGGAGGCGCTAGTGGTGGTGTGCGGTGCGCGCGTTGGGGGTTTCATTGCTCTTCTGTTTGCTGTCTCTGGTGGATGGTGTGTTGTTCAGCGGTTTGCAAACTTATTCATGTTGCTGCAATTCAACCGTTCGGTATACAATCGAACCTCGGGTAAGGACAAAACACCTGGGTTTTTGCTAGAAACCGTGTCCTTAAGCCGGGGAAGTATCCTTATGGTTGATACCCCTCCCTGTCCTACGTACATTCTGCGAGCGCCACCATGCCTATTTAAAAGGTTTCCTTAAACGAGGCATGACTGACTGTATTCATGATGTGCGCCTGGTCGCTAAGTAATCCTTGCGTCTTCGCCCCCCCTCGCCCCAACACAAGTTCGCCGCTACACCGAGGAGCAAACCGAGTACAAGCTTAGCCAGAAGGGCGTCACGATCCGGGCTACGGATGAGCCCGTCACCGACATCGTTTCCTTCCAGACGGAAGAAGACATATTCCGGTTTCTCGGGCTAGAGTACATCCCGCCTCACCTGCGGTGGGTCTAGCCTGGCCTAGCCTTGCCTAGCCTGGCCGCCGAAGTTTGTTGTTGTTGTTGTTGTTGTTGTTGTTGTTGTTGTTGTTGTTGTTGTTGTTGTTGTTGTTGTTGTTGTTGTTGTTGTTGTTGTTGTTGTTGTTGTTATTGTTGTTGTTGTCTTCCCATTACAAACCGTTCCGGTCTCCGCTCAGTACCTTCTAATGTCCGTACTGGTCCAACTGACGAAGTTGGAAGATTATTCTCCAGCGCGTGCGGCATCTCGGTCCAAAGAAGGACGGGCGGGTTACGGCGGGAATACTAGCATGGACGTTGAGCCGGGGTTTACCCCTGTCAACCAAAAAGACGGGGAAGCAGAAGAGAGCTTCCGGTTCGTTTTCAGGGGGGGAGGGGCTGGGGGGGTGTACTCATGGTCGTGCATGCCGTAGTCGTTAGACCATTGACCTCGCATCCCTACAAAGCCGGGACGGAACACGCCGGGTTCTCACCGGACCAGGCTCTCACATCACCAAACGCGAAGCACTCCTAAGATATTGGGCTGGGGGGGGGGG